ATACATACATACATACATACATACATACATACATACATACATACATACATACATATGTAAAGTTCTAGAGTGAAAAAAAAACAAAACATATGCACATTCCTTTTTAGAGAACAATACTTCCAGCTGTAAGTGGACACATCGTGTTCAGGCTTCCTTATAAGGAAATTGTTGTTTGTTTGTTTTGGGGTTGTTTTTTTTAAAGAAAATTCAATAAAACCGTTACCATAATCATCCACAGCGGGGCATGACAACAAGAAATCATCAACCATTTCCTCACGATTACCACAATTTTCATTATCAAAATAATAGTGTTTGCGTTATCGGATCCCTCGATTTTGTATTCATCATCATCATCATCATCATCATCATCATCATCATCATCATCATCATCATCATCATCATCAAAAATAACCACCACCATCATCACCATCACCATATTCATCTATCATCATCAGCAGCAGCAGCAGCAGCAGCAGCATTTTATTTTTTCTCCTGTCATTCAGTGTTAAAAGCCTTTTTATTAAACAAAATAATATATTTCACGACGCGGTGGAATCAGACGCTCGTAAATTAATTTTGGGCATGTGGAGTTATTGATATCATCATAAACCTTGTTCATTTGACTATCTTTCGGTGAAAAAAACAACATATCTCGCTTATATAAAAGTGGAGATATTTGCTACTGAAGGAAGTGGGTGTGGCCAGGTATCAGAGATAAAACTAGGCCTAGCGGGAAAGATGGCAGCTAAAGTTTGTTAATTTCCAAAGCTTGAGAGTCCTCGGACACTTACACTTTACATTTGCTGGGCCTTTAATCAACGTTTTCCAGTAAAATCCTCACTGATATGTTTTTAAAAGGAAAAAAAAGGTGATGAGCTGAAAAAAAAATTGAAAACATTTGTCAAACTGGACGAAAAATGCCAGGACATGATTCTTCGTTTGCATTATTTTGACAAGCGCCTGATTTCACCACACTGCCTCACATGTTATTGTGATACTCACGATTTGACCCTGAGCTAGCTGGCCTGTGGAAAACGACAAGGAATATTAGGTTGACGTAAAGAAATGTCAGTGATGAAGAAACAAAACTAAAATAAGCGCCAAGAGCCACCAAGGGGTGGATTGTACGCTATAGAAGTGATCTTTATTATTAT